GACACCTACACGCTTGTAGGTGCTGCGTTTGTAATAAATCCAGTCAATTGTTATTAAATATTCAATGTCTTGGCTCTTCATACTATTCTGTTTATAGTAGCTTGATGTGTATAGTTTGAGTTTCTGCCTTGAGCCTTTCTCTCAGTGATGCTTTATCAGACAGAAGGGTATTCACACTAGTTGGAACAGGTTTTATAGCACTTTGACAAACAATAATTAAATTGTCTATTTAGGCAGTGGTATCATTCTCTCGGCCTGATTTACTAAAAGAAGCACACAAGATAACTGAATAGCCGTGTAAAAAAGTCAATTGCAGAAACATGTAGAGCACCATCAGAATGTGTCAGGTCCTTCACAGGTAGTTTACAAAATCTATTTATTGCGTTGTTTATATCGTGTCCATTCTAGTCTTATGATTCTGTGAACTAAAAATTACTAAACATTACAGGACAAGGATAAGGGACAACATGGTATTTGTAGGAAGTGACACGTTTCCAGTTAAGACCTGGTTCTTGTTTCAGGGATCTGGCTGCCCGTAACTGCTTAGTTGGGGAAAACCACTTGGTTAAAGTGGCAGATTTTGGACTGAGTCGCCTGATGACGGAAGAAACCTACATAGCCCATGTAGGAGCCAAGTTTCCCATTAAATGGACTGCCCCCGAGAGTCTGGCCTATAACAAATTCTCCATTAAGTCAGATGTGTGGGGTAAGCAAAAATCAATTAAACACTCCCTGTTATCTTATGGGTAAAACTAAAATTCTTGCTTGAACTCTTTAGCATTTGGCGTCCTGCTTTGGGAAATTGCCACCTACGGGATGTCTCCATATCCTGGAATTGACTTGTCCCAAGTGTACGAGCTACTAGAGAAAGATTACCGCATGGACAGACCCGAAGGATGCCCAGAGAAAGTCTATGAGCTCATGAGGGCATGTAAGTAGCTCATCAGATCGCTGAAGAAAATCCAAGGAGCAAAAAGTAGACAAGCTAAAGTATTTGAACAATATGGTTACAATTAAGCAATTAATACAAGTCTTTAGTTGCCCTTTGGACTGACTTTAGTGTCTCTATCTTTAGGTTGGAGATGGAACCCTGCAGAGCGGCCTTCTTTTGCTGAAACTCACCAGGCGTTTGAGACAATGTTTCAAGAGTCCAGTATCTCCGATGGTAAGACTTTGTCTCTGGAGGTTTAGAGAGTTTTGCGTGTACTTTTCTCGTGGCTCATCTTCAATCTTCATGGGTTGCAGAGGTGGAGAAAGAATTGGGGAAAAAAGGTAAGAAGCTGACACTGGGTCCATTACAGCAGGCACCAGAACTTCCCACTAAGACGAGGACACTACGAAGACATATGGACAGTAGGGATGGTGACAGTCCAGGTAAGTTTTACTCTCCCAATATTCACAGTTAATTCTGAGTTGCTTTCTGCAATGGGCAATTGTACTGATAAAGTTTTACCCTTTCCAGATGCAGCAGAGGCTGAGGTAGCTGGGCCCCCGATGCTCCCGAGGCCTGTCCTTGATAGTAACTTGAACGAAGATGATCGCCTCCTAGCTAAAGATAAAGATAAGTTCAGAATGAATCCATTCAGTTTAATCAAGAAAAAGAAGAGAACCGCCCCGGCACCCCCAAAGCGCAGCAGCTCCTTTGGTAAGATGGATGGGCACCTGGATCGTAGAGGACTGGGTCCCGACTGCAGAGATGATTTCAACAACGGGGCTTCCACAAATGATGCCTTGCACAGCATTGACCCTTCCAAATTGGTCAGCTCCAACAATACCACGGCTGTCGGAGTCACCAATGGAGCCCCAGTATATCCTGGTCAGCTCTTCCCTTCTCATTCACGGAAAAAGGGCACGGCCACAACATCGGGTAGCGGAGGGAAACTTGCCACAACTCCACCTGCAGAAGAAGATCCTATGTCAAACTCCAAGCGCTTCCTAAGGTCTTCTTCCACCTCTAGCATGCCTCCAGGGTCCGAACGCACTGAGTGGAAGTCTGTCACCCTGCCGCGTGACATCCAGTCATCTCACTTTGACTCGGGCACCATTGGAGGCAAGCCGGCTCTGCCACGCAAGAAAGCAGATTGCATGCCACGTGGTGGCACCCTTACCCCACCACCACGCCTTCCCAAGAAAACAGAGGATGCACCTGACGAAGTGTTTAAGGACTCAGAGTCTAGTCCTGGATCAAGTCCTTTGACTCTGACACCTAAGCTCACCCGTCGGCCACATGTGCAGATGGAAAGCTCCAAAACAAGTGCCTTGCAAGCAGAGCTGTTCAAGCCCAATGTGTTTCCACCTCTGGGAACATCTGGTGATGAATGCAGACCTCGTAGGCTCAAGAACTCTTCTGAAGTCCCTGGACAAAGAGACAGAGAGAAGGGGAAGTTTGCAAAACCTAAACCGGCTCCTCCTCCACCTCCTGTCTCTAGTGCCAAATCTGGAAAGTCTTCGAGGAGTCCCACTTTTGATATCTCTTCAGATACCAAAGTCAAAGGCTCCTCTGAACAAAACCCTCCAACTCCTGGATCCACAGAACAAGGCAGGGGCACAAGTCTTTCCCAAGAAAGTGGCAAAAAATTGCCAAAAAACACCTCGAAAGTGCAGCCCCCAAAGACCTCTTCTACATCCCCAAGCAGTCAGCTACCAGGGATGGGAACGGGATCGGCTGTTGGTGACCCAGGATCCAACTTCATTCCCCTCATGACGACTCGCCGCTCGCTAAGGAAAACGCGGCAGCCGTCGGAGCGACTCTCCAACTCTTGCATCACACGCGAGATGGTTTTGGAGAGCACGGAGCTCCTGCGAGCTGCCATTGGCCGCATTTCAGAGCAAACCGGCAGCCACAGTGCAGTGTTGGAAGCTGGCAAGAATCTGTCCAAGTATTGCGCGAGCTTTGTCGAGTCCATCCAGCAGATGCGCAACAAGTTCGCTTTCCGCGAAGCCATCAATAAGTTGGAGAGCAGCCTGCGCGAGCTGCAGATCTGCCCTGCTGCCACTGGGGGGGCCAACACACCACAAGACTTTTCAAAGCTGCTTTCCTCTGTCAAGGAGATCAGTGACATTGTTCAGAGGTAGCGGAGAAGAGCATAGATGGAACTGATATCTACGTGTCTGGGGCTTCTCTGGGTTGGCTGTGGCGTGACATACATTTCCATTGGACCCACCTCAGCTTTTCTCATGCCAAATAGATGAACATTTAAGAACGATTCAGTGTCTCATTACTGTGCACAAATGCAGGGGAACCAGTAATGTTCCTCCAGAATCTGTTTGGAGATTTTAAGGTAGCCCAGGTCCAAGCCTTAGTGACTTGATTTTTTTTACAAGTCTTTGTCTGCAATTCCTTGACTTTTCTTCTCTGCATTTTCTCAAAGTATTTGTTAAAGACAGCATTATCTCAGCATTGCAGATGACTGACAGAAAAACACCTCATGTGCCTCACACTTTTCAACCTTTTTAAGGGATCAAAATATATTTTTGATTACATTCATGATCATAGTATTGATAAAGACTGTTTATTGATGTGTCCAGCTTAGTTTTCTTTGTGTGGTTGGTCAAGAAAGGGCTTTGTTGCGAGATGTGAACGGTCCCTGTGATATGAGGAACTTCAAACCGACTGATCAAGTATTGTATGATTCCAACACTGTGCCATGATTGATATTTCACTGATGGGGTCGTTAATTCGGTTTTCTCACCTTTTCCAGGCCCGTCAAGGGTTTTGAACGTGTTCCTACAGCACAATCACTACATACATGCCGTTCCAAAACTACAGTTGCCTTAAAGAGACTCGCTGAACACGAATCATTGGTCAGCGAATGAAACACTACTGTCTCAAGGAGAAAGACCTGGCAGTGAGAATCGGCGCTTCAGAAACAGTATATGTATAGATGTTTTTGTAATGTCCTCTGAAAGATCTTCTGTTACCACTTGATGCCATTTCAAAGGTTTTCCACACACCACTGACAGAAGTGCTCCGGGATCACGGACTTGAATGGAGCAGCTTTATCCAATGACCACAAGCCATGATTCTCATTTAATAGAACTTTCGTGTTTTGCTTGTGTAATTGAAATAATGCAGTTGTTTTAAGTATTACTTTGTCTTTTCCAACACTTTGCCATTAGACTGCGACGCCTGAGGAGGAGGCCAGCCACAAGCTGCCTTTAATTCAACATGGTACTACCAGTGTTGACATTTCATGTTTTTTTTTTCTCTTAAAATCATGCCACTACTTTTAAATTTGTATTCAAGCTTCACCCTTTTGTAGACTAATTGCTTGTCTTTGTAAATACACATCACTTATTTTTAGTTGATTCGTCCTGTAACCTTGGTGCAATTTTTGTTGCAAAAAATACAAAGCAATTTTGCTACTTGAACAACGTAGTTTGTTTCTGTCAGCGTGTTCATGTTGTCTGCTCTCTATTCAAACGTGCTTTTGCATGTGTTTGTGGTTCATCTTCATTTTAAACGTCAATTCAAAATGAAGCAGAAACACTTTCTGTCTAGAGCATTTTTATTGTCATTAAAATCAAAATGTCAACATTTTAAAATCATATACACACAAGAACAGATTTTCAAACGTTAGCACAGCTCCAACAAAGTTTATACATATGTACTGTTTTTGCTCGTGAACAGCACAGTCTTTCAGATCGCAGATTCCGACAGTTCAAAAGCACTAGTGCCTGCTTTAGATCAGTCATGATCTGATCTCCATTTTTAAGACTTTCTGTAGGAGAATTTGCCTCCTGTCTCTTCAGCTGGATGTGTGAGAGTTTGTGATGTACACGCTGAGTGAGGAGTCAGTGCTCGTTACATCAACAGATACAGCCTTATTTACAGCAGCTGAATCAGAGACGATTTCATATGGTACATACACTGAATTAAGACACAGAAGCTGCTTCAGAGGAAGTTTGCGGTGGTGCTGTTAATATACAAGCCAATGCACTGACTGGAGCCATTTCCATCACATTTCATAGATCTATACAAAAACAGTAGCACTGTTGTAAAGCCGTTTGTTTATTAACTCCGGTCTGAACTGCATGTTGAGCTAGTTGATTAAACGGTGGTAGTAATAATTTTAACATGAATAATAACAATAAGGCAACATAAAATAATGGTGTTGAGGACAGAGGAATCAATGTTGATATGATGGAGCAGAAGAGGAGATGGGAGCGATGAAAGATTGAATCTTTCCGTAAATTCTCTTTGATTCATAAAGCTGTCCGACCCAAACTGACTCTACATGCGCTCGCATATGAACATGCACGTGATTGCAACAGGAGACGCTTCATTAGGTTTTAAATCTGGGATCAGTGGAACCAATGCGACCACTGCGCATTTACAGATGAATAAAAAAAATGAAATGCATTATTCTGAGCACAGCTGCATATAAAACTGAGATGCATTATTTTGCACACTCAACCTAGTGCTTTTTATCTGCAGGAGCGTCAGACAGGTGTCCTGTTGGTGACCGACCCAAACAGATTTTCACAACCACATTGACTCTCATACGGTTGGAAAAATGGCAGCAGATACGCATTTGATGTTCTTAAAATGATCCTAACACAACCCATGCCGCAGCAGCACGTTGGATTATGAATCCATGTCACACGTTTGGCCACTTCCTTCAGTGTGGGTCTTATTTCTGTTATGTCACATTGTTGAGCTATAAAATCAATCAATAAAAAGAAGCTGAACTGGTGTGTGTGACGAGATGAGCAGTGGTGCAGTCAGAGGAAGGTGAGGATGGGAACGTAAGAACACACTGACCAGAGAGAGAAGACGGACAGATGAAGAGAGACAGGAGGAGGAAATGAGCGCATGTAGCCGTGTTCCTCCCCTCTGTGGTTCCCGCGGCTCTTTGGTACAGGCCGAGGCCGCGAGCGTGTGTGTGAGATAGAGGAAGAGGAGGATGGTTGTGGTGGGGGGGTGGAGGATGAAGGTCATTAACAGCCACACCCTTCCCTCTGCGGCTGTGGTTCGCTGGTGAGCCGGCCGCCCTGCGGCGCTGACGGTTTGTGCTGCACGCCAGACTCGGCCGCGTTTAGATCCAGACTGCCGTCCTGAATGTTCTGGTAGATCTTCTTGGCTGCTTCCAGAAACGCATCCTCCACATTCTCACCTCTGTGACCACAAACACACGGTTAGCATCTATACACTCACATGAGATTAAGGGAACAAGAAAAAAAAATTCTAGATAAAAATAAAAGATCAAGACAAACTTGATGGCTTGAGAAAACGTGACTTTTCTATGAGGTGGCACACTAGCAACATGCTAGGAACATGATAAAACATGTTAGCAACATGCTAAGAAAAGGTTGAAACACTAGCAACATGCTAAAACACAACATGTTAAAACACTAGCAACATGCTAAAACTTAAGAAAACATTCAAATACACTAGCAACAGCTAAAACAAGCGTTTTGTGAAAACGTTATAATCATACTATTAAAATGTTATCAATACGTGCTAAATGTGCTTTAGCAATGTGCTAAAACATGCTAGCAACATGTTAGGAAGGAACATATGAGCAATGTGTGAAAACATTATAAGCATGTTATTAACATGAATGTGCTAGCAACGTGCTAATATTGTAACATTCTATCCATCAGAGACTGCATGGCTTTAAAACTTTCAGACTTAAAAAAGTGAATTCAGGCTTTCCAGCACAATCTCTGACAGTTCATAAATATATGACATTTTGCTGAACTGGTGGCTGATTCTAATGAATTTGCACAATCCTATTCATATGCTATGACATGCTAACAACATGCTTAAACGGTAGGAACATACAAGCAACATGCAAAAAACAACAACAACATATAAGAACATACAAAAACGTTATAAGCATGGGAATATAACATTAGGAACAAGCTAGCAATGTGTTAAAGCTGGTTGCTAGGGTGTTCTGGCTAGTTGCTATGGATGGATAGAGTATGGTAGAGGTCATAGGAGGAATTGGTGTCAGAAATGTGCTATTTAACATTATTATTATTAATATTCAAAGTTCATCTCTGTGAACATTTTTAAAGCATTTTATCTGCCCTTCCATATTCAGGTAAGTGCTGCTTTTCAGTGTCTGTAACAATGGGTTTTCCTCATAAATACACGTGTACAGACGGATATGTTTCTGACGTCTGGCTTTGTTAATAAACGCATTCTCTGATGATTTATATGTGACGTTTTCACTGCACACGTCCCATCCATAATGCTGGAGCTGCTGGAATAACTCACGTTTTAGCGCTGGCCTCCAGGAACAGCAGACCTGTGAACACAAACGAGCGTGAAATCAGAACAGTGTCGTGTGATCTGTCATGTGACAGACATACGCTTCACTCACCGTTCTCTTCAGCGAACTGCTTAGCTTCCTCATACGTCACGTCCCGCTGCGCTTCCAGATCCGCTTTGTTTCCTATGAGTATGATCACCTGCACAAACACACCAGAGAAACCTCTCTGAGCCAAACCAACAATAAACTCCACCCTCAACCTGTCAATCGCACCCGCACCCAACCAACAAAACCTGCTGGCACAGCTTGGCGTAAGAGCTTGCAAGGTAGATCTTATGTTATCAATACTGCGCAGTGCCCTAAGTCAACAGAGCTCAACCCTATGTTACTACTATGATATAGTGCTGAGATATGACTTATTCATGCAGATGTGGCTGTTGTTTTTGTGGTTTCTAGGCTATGCTATCAGTACATTGCCCTTTAAGCCTGGGACACACCATGCCGACTTCATAGAACTAGCGGCGAAGAAAGCTGACCGTGTTGTGGCCTCGCGTCTGGACCAAAAATCTGTGCCTGAGCACACTGCACAGACTACAGCCGACTGCAAACTAGCATGTCTGGACTTAACTGTCTATATCAGTAGGTGTCAATAGTCTATATTTGTCATTCAAAAGGAGAAATTGAGACAAGGATGTATGAGATAAACGCAGATATCTGAAACGTAAGCAGCGCTTGCTTACTATTTTGAATATCAGTTATGTTGATCATTTTCTTCATTTTATGAGGCTCGTGTTATGAAAATATTTGTGTATTGAAATGCTCGGGTGAGATAACGTAACATTTCTGTCTGTGCCGTCTTGACTTGCTTGCTCGTTTTCATCACTTTTTGCATCCAGTTCTCACTCTCACCGACTCGACATGCTGAATTGGGCAAACTGCTGCTGACGTGAGACCGACGAGAGCTGACGTGGAACAAACCAAAAAAACTAGTCCAACAGACGCTTGGCGATGGCCCAACATTGACCAATGGTCGACTTGGTGTCCCGGGCTTAAGTCAATGGAGGCCAACCTTATGTTACTACAATGCTATAGTGCTGAGACATGGCTTATTTACGTAGCCTAAAGGCCGTTTCACACTGAGTGTGATTCAAAATGAGGCGAAACGCCAACGAACGGTTTTGTTTCACGAATGAATTGTTTCACACCGAGCATGAAACAATTGATCGCCATCTGCTAACTCACACCTGCACGCTAGATGGAGCCGACAAACAATGCATTTCCCATCGATATGTATAACAGCATTAAATTAAGATAAATAAAGTTTGGTTCTACGCCAGAAACACAAAATATCTATAATGCTTACAAGAATAAATCTTAAAATATAATTAGAGGTACAATTAGCATCAATCTTCTTGAAAATTGTGATTACTTCAAAATGAGGCGAAACGCCAACGAACGGTTTTGTTTCACGAATGAATTGTTTCACACCGAGCATGAAACAATTGATCGCCATCTGCTAACTCACACCTGCACGCTAGATGGAGCCGACAAACAATGCATTTCCCATCGATATGTATCTCGTATATGGATTTAACATCATCCGCTGCTCAACAGCATTAAATTAAGATAAATAAAGTTTGGTTCTACGCCAGAAACACAAAATATCTATAATGCTTACAAGAATAAATCTTAAAATATAATTAGAGGTACAATTAGCATCAATCTTCTTGAAAATTGTGATTAATGTTTTTGCGTAAAACCCACTTTAAAGGGGTCATATGATGTTGCTAAAATGAACATTATTTGGTGTATTTGGTGTAATGCAATGTGTTTATGCGGTTTAAGGTTAAAAAAACATTATTTTCCACATACTGTACATTATTGTTTCTCCTCTATGCCCCGCCTTTCTGAAACGTGTAGATTTTTACAAAGCTCATCGGTCTGAAAAGCGAGGTGTGCTGTGATTGGCCGGCTATCCAGTGCGTTGTGATTGGCCGAATACCTCAAGCGTGTGACGGAAATGTTACGCCCCTTACCATACTGTGATTGCGTGTCCCGGAGCGACGAGACAAAAACATTAACACCCATTATAAACGAAGCATTTGTTGCATCCAGTGGGGACATAATTACGGATTATAATGACTTCTACTGTCTTTTTACGCGTTGCGTTGCATTGCTAAAATAAACCTGAGCATTAAGTGATTCAGACTAAATTCAGACTAACAAAACTACAGCAGCAAGTCTGTATTGGCTGAACGTATTAAGCAGCTCCTACAGTTAAAGATAAAACTTAAAAATTTAGTTTTTAAATTAAATCAAAAAATATTTCAAAATATTGAATGCATTGTTATTTAATTGTTATACCATTAATAATTAACTTATTTAATTTGTAGCTAACTAGCTATGTAAATAATTAACCCTTTCATGCTGTTGGTGTCTGAGCTTAATTATTTATTTTTTTAAATGACACGAGACTGACTTCCTGCACTTGCTATACTTTATACTTCAGTACAGTAAAAGTACTAAAATGTGTTACAATATTCATTTTATAATAAATCCAAAAGCAAGATGTGAAAAAAAACTAGGGAGTTGGAATGGCAACTGATAATGAGTGATCCTCTTCTGCCATCTACTGGTTATAATGCTCATTTCATGTCATTTTCATCTTAAAAAGTCTTTGTTTTCCGCCAGGAGACACATTTTTGGCACATTTTTTGAATGAAAAGTTAATCTTTAAAGTGAATTTTACTGCACAACTGTAACTAATCTCACTCCAGCCAGGCAACCTAAGTTTGCAACCCTGTGTACATATTCAGTTATACTCATTACTATGAAGGCAAGTTATCGATTATCAAGAATACCATAATGATGTTGTTTACAAGATAGCATCGCTAGCTAACGTTAGCTTAAATAGTTACGATAGTGTCTGGGCACTGGGATTACCAGGCTCAACATATAAAATTATATGTTGTTAAATAACATGAAACTGTATGTTAATGCCGCTTTCATCATTTTCGGTGTTGCAATTATTTAGTTTCTCAGTTTCTGACAAGAGCCAGGCAGGAGAGTGTTGCTAAGCAGAGGGTCTGTGAGGGTCTTAAGAGTCTACCTATATGTACCACAACATCAAATGACGTTTCTCTGGAAGTTTAAGAGTTGGCTTATCTTAATGCGGAAGTTCTAAAGAAAGCTCCGTGCATACAGTCCATTCAGTGGAGAATTAATAGAAATTATATTCTATATAAAGAACATGTGAGAATAAATCTGTTCTCAGTTACCAATGATAACAAGAACTCATCATCCACTCTCTTCTCTCTCGGGATACTCTTCTTCGGTGTTTGTTTACACTGGTTTTTGGAAACAGTGCCACTAGCTGCCCTGGGCACATGATCTAGGCTCAAATCTAATTGAATGGCCCGTTTCATCACGGAGCAACGGGGGGAAAAGACAAAAAAAAAAAAACATCACTTTTTCACGCCATGAATAATCGTGCCTGGTGTGAAAATCCCCATAGGGACTATTTACACCATTGTTTTGATTCAAAAGCATCATTGCACCGAACATTCGCGCCAGATTTTTGCATTCAGTGTGAAAAAGCCTTAAGCCCAACCTACATACCCCTGAGCCCTGCCAGTCCAGACTTTGCTTGTACTCACAGTATTGGGGTTGGTAAGGTTTCTGGCGTCGGTCAACCAGCTGCTCAGGTGGTTGTATGTGCTTCTCCTGTATGACACACAGACAGAGCATGTGTTTCCATCGCTAGAGACAGCAGCAGCATGAGAGCCGCGTTACTCGGCTGACGTACCTGGTGATGTCGTAGACCATCAGCGCTCCCGCCGCTCCTCTGTAGTAGCTGCGCGTCACGGCCCTGAAGCGCTCCTGACCTGCCGTGTCCCAGATCTGCAGCTTGATCTTCTGACCGCTCACCTCGATGATCCTGGTGCCGAACTCCACGCCGATGGTGTGCGGACAGTCGGCCATGACTGAGGAGAGCAGAGCGTTCATGGTGAACACCAACAACTACTGACTTGCATCAGAATCACATTACTTTCATCACTCAACATCAACACTGTTATTGAACTGAACTGATCTTAATAATGACACTATTGTCTTCTGTAGAGCTGCTTTATAGCTGAAATTTGTGTCATTGATTCTGTTCTGATTTTCCTGTTTATCACTGTGAAGTAGGTGAGGACATTTTTTCACCGGTTAATCGACGACCGGTATCACCGTAGGGGCGGGGGCGTTCCCTCTTTTCCTCGCTTTCCTTGGCTATTAAATATTGCCAAAAACATTTTACTTTCACTTTGTATTATATATAACCAAATAAATAAGAAACGTTTATTAGCAAAACGAGTAAGAATGCTTGGAGGCACGGCATACACCTTGATGTCAAATCAAATAAATAAATGACACAAAGTTTAAATAAAGTAAAAATCAGCAAACACTGTGGAACCAATTAAATAAAAAACGAATGTTTAAAAAAAATTACCTTAGATAAACGGCAAAAGTCAACAGGTTTTTAAAAATCCAAAATATTGCCAAACAGGCGCTTTTGCGTTTCGTTTTTTTTGTTTCACGTCACCTCACTCTTCTTGTCAGTCAGCTCGACTCGCTCTCCTCACTGTATAATTGAAATCTGATCTGTGATGCGATCGTTCGGCACGCTGCATTGAGCAGCCGCGTTCAGTTTTTAATTGTAGTGTCTGTTCTTTTACTGAACTAAATTATTTTTATTACTATAAAAAAATCTAAACGACGGTGGGGGTCAGTGACGCGGTGGGCAAGTGACTTAACCGGTGTTGCGGCTTAACACAGTCAATCGCAGCAAGCCTACTGTGAAGCTGCTTTGAAAAATGAGGGTTAAAAACAGGGAAGTGAAACTGAAAGGTCAACTTATCAAGATTTTTTATTGTGATTCATTTAAATGTAAATTTTGAAGACAAAACTGATTAGTATTATAAAGGAGTTATTTATTCGTATTCAGGGTTTACAGCATGCGATTCAAAGGCAAGGTTAGAGACAAGTCTGTTGTTTCAGTTATAATCTATATAATTTATAAACGAGTTTGATTAAACATTACCAGGTCAAAACATAAAAAAGGAATGTATGTACAGATGAACTGTTCACAATAAGATCTATAACATGCATTTGAAAAACGGACTTCCATTTCATGCATCCCTAGTAGGGATGTAACGACTCACTCAACTCACGATTCGAGTCACGATTTTTTTATTATTATTATTTTTTTTACAAAATGAGATTTAAGACAAATTATAAATTAAATGTGTCCTTTTATTATTGCTTGGACAAAATGCTGCACATTTCTTTGTGAAATTGAAATATAACACTATAATAATATTATTGTTCTTTTGTTGATTTTGATTGCTTTTATTGTCCTCATTTGTAAGTTGCTTTGGATAAAAGTGTATGCTAAATAACAAAATTTTAATATAATGTAAATGTAAATAACATAACTAAATTGAAATTTTAAAACAAGCCTCAAATCAAATAAATAACACAAATAAAAGAAATATCTTCATATAAACAAACTAAGGCTTTGTCTGTGCTCTTTCCTTTTAAAATTAGAGATTAAAATGGATCATGATCCAAACAAAGATGCTGCATACATGCAACATGAGCCGTTTTTAATCTAAATTGGATTGCATAATTTTGAAATTTGAAGCAAAATCAGAATAGTTTGACAATTGGTTTTTCAGTTTTGTGAAACTATACATAAAAATATCTGCATGAAACTCCTCTAACTTTATTAAAAGTATGTCATCTTTTGTCAAATTCTTAAAAAAGTATATTTTATAAGCTTTTACATTTTTTTTAAATTAAAATGACAGAATAAGAACAAGTAGAATAAGAAATATAAGTTACCAATCAAATGAAATCATCTATTAACAAAATTAATTTGTAGAGGTGGCACAGAAGAACACAAAAGTGGCTTGGTGTACTTTCAGACATTTACTGAGGCTCAGAAGTGGAATGAGTGCAATTAAATCCATAAATTCATGATGATATTAATGTTTTAAATATAACATTTTGAATATAGAAATATTAAATGATTTAAATAACTGAAAAGATACTTTAAAAATGAAACAAACTTATTTTTATCACTGAATCATTCATTCAATTGATTCGTTCGAACAGCTGTTTCATTCAGGAATGAATCAAGTGACTGTCTTTATGAATGGGTAATCACGAATCACTGACTCACTAGATTCGTTCAGAAATGCATGTTCATTCATAAACGAAACACTGCTGTGTTTGAATGGAGATGCGCAGCGGCTGAGCTGTGGCATTGTTTTAAACTATTTTCGACGACGAAATAGAGCAAAATCAGACAATAGTGTTATAGTCAGACAATGTAAGTCACTTAATATTAACTTCTTGTTTATTGAATTGTATTGTATTAAATCAGTATCACATTTACAAACTCCCTTAAAAATCATTAAAAGCTGTCACTCATCTTAGTTCATCCCGATCTCCCATTTATAACCAACGACATTCATCTGTATTATTTTTGTCTACACTGCGACAAAAATAATAAACAAGTGTGTCATGACCTCTTTAACAAGCCGTCACAGGCTGGTCATTTCACACAAACTTTCTGTGAATGTGAAACATCAGGAGTCAGAGCAGTGTTTCCCATTCATTAACTAGACCAGGGGTGGCGAACGTCGGTCCTGGCGAGCCGCAGCCCTGCAGAGTTTTGCTTCAACCCTAATCAAACACACCTGAACAAGCTAATCAAGGTCTGAACGGTTATTAGGAAGCTACAGGCAGGTGAGTTTTAATTAGGGTTAGAGCTGAACTCTGCAGGGCTGCGGCTCTCCAGGACCGGAGTTCGCCACCGCTGAACTAGACTGTGGGCCCAGTCTAATCTGTCCCGCCACAGTTTCATAATAAACCGAAGATATATTTATACTAGGGATGCTCCGATCGATCGGCCGGAGATCGGTATCGGCCGATAATCACATTTTATGACTCGATCGATACTCACTACACTTAGCCGATCTCACGAACCGATCACAATTTGATGACGACGTACATGATGCGTGGGGACATAAATGATTTGGCGCCACAGTCATGTAATCGCCGGTGTGGAAATGCTATGACGTTTCGAGAAACAATGAAAAATTTGCTATTTGTCGAGTATGTTTTGCATGATAATATGATGAATGGATGGTTCATTTTTAACAGTAGATTCAGTGACGTTAGAGCTGATCTGTGCCTCACTGCACACGTCTGCGGCACGTTACAGCTCCACGGGAATCAGAGCTGATCGCGGCCGCTCTAGTCAGTGCTCGTGTTTATACCATAGACTTGGGTTTATACCAGCAAGGCCTTGGCATGTTTCTGAAGCTGCTCTCCATGCTGCTTGGCTAAAAATAGCCTTTTGTGAGTTGGCACAGCATGAAGGACGGAACAAAACCTCGTTGGAGCCGTAAGGGATAAAGGTAACAATACGCTGATCGTGGGCTGCTTTTAAATGAACATTTATTTAAAAAACAAAATATCTTTGGCCATATTAGCCTACTCTATAGCATTAACACAGGCTTTGCTCCTTTCAAACTTTATCTGGAATGTCACTGCAACTTCCCGATCAGGCGAACGAACACACACACACACACACACACAAAATCGTCTGCCTCATAAAAAAAAAAATTTTAAATAAAAAAAATTGTTGTTAATATTTGCATCATTTAGGATTTATTTTACCCACCCACAAATAATCAGAATGCATTTTTTATTACCCGACCCATGGATTATCCGCAGCGCCCCTGGATATAACCGTGATCGAACTACTCCGTTTTGTTCTTTCAGTAGTTTAAATGTTTCTATTTCTTTTTCTCTCTTCAGTCTTATATTGGACAATATTAAACCTTATGTGTTACATCAGACTTCTCCATGTTAGAGTTTAAATGTTTCTATTTATTTTGTCCTCTCTCTAACATTGGACAATGTTAAACTAAACCTAATGAGTTGCATCAAACTACTCCAATTAGTTCTTTTAGGAGTTTAAATGTTTTTTTTTTTATTAAATATTTATTTTGTCCCCCAGTTTACTATTTCCAAATAGAATCAATAACAACAGCTAAGTAGTCCCTCTAGAGTAGATTATTTTTGATAACAAGCAAAATATGTTTGCTGCGTAAATCAGACGGACTTACTGAAAATGCAAATTCATTCTCTGCCAGCAGGAGGTGCTTTAAAGCGAGAGAAACACAAAGCAGCGCTGAGCTCACAAACGCTGCTTTATCAGGCATATAACATGCACGATGAAATGAAAATGACATCGAATATTTTCTAAAGATAGTCTTCCTTCAGGAATACAATAATATAAAAACAGCCGTACCTTGTTTTGATTTTTAAACGTGCAGTACGTGTTCATGTTTATTCAACAAATCCTTTTGGAAAATCTGTCAGTTTTGATATTGTGGCGAGCGCCACAAATAAATAAATGTATGAGAAACACCCCACAGCACAACCACTTGAGCCCAACTTCAGTCTACTCATCACCTTAACTTTAACTGCGTTTGTAGCCGGTGCCATAGCCAGACTGATAAACAAACACAGATCGGAAGTTAACTTCGGCCGACGAAACCGTCTATATAAAGCTTGAAGCATCAGAATCGGCATCAGTATCGGCCGATCACCATGACAAGAAATCGGTACTCAGTATCGGCTGCAAAAAAACCTGATCGGAGCATCCCTAATTTATACTTCTCATATAACATAAAAGTTCTTTAACGTTTCACGCCATTGCTTTGGCAAATATCCGTCAAACGAATTAAAACCGAAAGCGTAATATGACTTATAAAGTCTGTTTGCACTGTTTGTTTCAAAGTGAAGTGCGCATATTGCGCACGCGATCAGCTCGTGATCAGGTGTTTTCCGTCACAGTGAATGCAGTGAACTCCGTTATTGAATGTGCTGTGAGTTTAGCGCGTTTGGAAACGCAAAGGCCACCAGTTATGCATAATTTTCAACATTTTAATGGGCAAATGTTTACAGTATTTCATTAAATTAGTAATGTTTGTAAACCTGTTTTCACAGAAGCCGGAGTTTTCCGCCAAAATAAAAGTTTAACTGAAGTTTCCATCAAAATAAAAGCTCAAGGGTTTATCTCTTGCAAGCATGGCCTAAAATTAACAGACACGCACAGAGAAAATACTGTACAGGTACAGCAAGCTCACTGTTCGGAAGACAAATATAAATATTGGGTTGGGGGTTTATATGAATATATTTCTGAAGGGAACTGACTTTACAAAAGTTTCAATGGCATTTTTTCCCCTATTATCACTGCTGATCCATAAGCGCCACCTGCTGTCATAGTGAATTTGCGTTCTCATTCAGCCTGTCTGTTTTTGTTTCATGCAGGTTTTATCTTTGTATCTTGATTAAAATGCAGTGGATGGTTCTAATTTCAAATGGCTTTTTTTATTAAATATGTTTAGTTGTTGTAGTAGTAGCAACTGCCCGTTTTTTGCACAATATCACAACTAAAAAGAGGGTTGAGTCCCCTTTAAATTTCAAGAACAAGTACATTCACCAGCTTTTTTCTTTTACTTTGCACACTGAACCTGTGTTGGAGCTCTTAATTTTGAACTCTCAAAGTGCACCAGATTTATGAATTTAACTTTAAAATGTACACAATTCTCTTACGGGGGGGCCATGTCCCCGGACCCCCCTAGAGGGATCGAGGACCACCCACCACAGTCTCACAAAATCCTGTGGGAAACACTACAGAGGCTGTTTGTTTAGAGCACAAGGCTCGCTTGTGTGGCTCAGGATGTTGATCTGCATCGTGTGCTTAACATGCTGAAGGAAAAGCCTGACAATCACTCATACTCACATTTCTTCTCCGTGAACTGGTGCAGTAAGCAGGACTTCCCTACGCCCATGTCTCCTGTGGAGAGAGAGCAGACATGAGAGCCTGACAACACACGACTGAACACTTCACTGCTGCTGATTCACTCACCGATGATGATGTACTTGAAGATGTAGGAGTAGTTGTAGGGTGCAGTGGCCATTGCCGCTCTGAAACAGACAGACACACACACACGTCATCGTTAGCATACAGCTGACCACAGTTACACAGACACACGTGTTTGTCCAGCTCGTGAGTTGTGTAACCTCTCTGAAGTATGTTGAAACCTGTGCTATGGTTTTGCACTTGAAAATGAAAAATTTAAGACAGTCATAAATATCCGTATTGTAATTTTACAGTTATGTAAAATAAAATTATTGTATTATTTTTCTTAAATGCAGTAATTCCTCATTTTTAATTCTACAATGAAACATTAAAACAGTATTTTTTATTTTAATTTAATAACAACATTTATAATAATTTTTATAAATAATTTGCAATTTTTACCAGAATATTTCCCCCCCAAACTGTGCAGCGCTACTAGAGTTTTTATAGACCACATTTCGATTGTTTTTGACCCATTCAATAAAAAATATAAAATTGTTAAATAAAAATAAACAAAACAAGAGTATATATATATATATATATATATATATATATATATATATATATATTTTTTTTTTTGTTTTTATTTTTTATCGT